ACATAGGATTTGGGTTGAAACTACAGGACATTACAGCAAGTCCCCCAATGGGAGGTGCATGACACAGCTATTGACAGAGAGGAGGAGCTCTATGAGGTCAAAAAAAACAAAACCACAAAAAGAGTGACTATGTAGTAGGAGAAGAAGCATAGCAGACAAATAGAAAAGAGAGGAGCACATGAATGAAAAAGACATGAGTACAGAAGGAAATCAGAGTGCAGGAGGAGAAGGAGTGGTGGACAGAAAACCTGGTCAGTCTGGGTGGAAGGTAAGAGAGTGTTGAGAGGTTTGTTTATCTTTCAGAAAGACTGCAGCTAAATATTCATGTAGCTGCTTATGATAATGAATAAAAAGATCTTTAACATTAATGTAGGCCTTCATTGAGAGCAGTGTTCTTTGTGTCAAAGCTCAATATAAGTAGCTAAAATTCACGTTTAGTATTTGAATGTTTGTTCAGACCAATGTTCATGTGGTTGTTAGCATGTAGACTGATAGTAACAGATGTTCACCTCACTTCCTGTGATATCAGGCCTGCATTTGCTGTATGGTCACCAGGTTAACACAGAGCCAGAAAGCTGTAAATAAAGTTTTTAGACACATTTAGAAATGTGCTCAAAAGTACAGAATATTCTTTGAAACCAGCCACCAGGTTTCAAAGTACCACGGGATGATTGTTTAACATAGGCAAATAGCTTGATGAATGGGGGCTTCCTGTAATCCAAGCATCTCCATTAAGAGAGGATTTTCCTTTTCTCTGACCTTTTTGCTGTTACAGCAATTCCAGTGCCCCATAGCTGATCCACACTTTCCTAGAGAAGATATAAAGAAGATATGGAAGGAGTGTCAGTACGAGAGCTTCTGGTATCGAGGTAAAGATACATAGACACACTTGTGCACATTTACTATCCCTTAGTTAACCCAAAAATGAAAATGCCATAATAATTTTTTCACCCTCATGTCATTCCAAAACTGTATGACTTTCTTTCTTCTGCTGAACACAAAAGAAGATATTTTTAAGAATTTTGGTAGCCAAACTGTTTTGGTTGACTTACATATAGACTTACATTACATATTGTTCCACAGAAGAAAAAAAGGGTGAATAAATAATGACATATTTTTCATTTTTGGGTTAACTATCCCTTTAATGGAGATAGACCATGATGTTTTTGTTCTGTTCAGTTAAACCATTTGTTCGATATGTATTACAAAGATTACAAAGAGTACATTTTCCAAGAAAATACTATTTCAGTCTTTTTACTTCAAAATGTCGTGTTTAGGCTAATTAAGTCTATTAAATTGCAAGTAAAGGGAACGGGTTGCATTATATTTAAAAAATGTGTATTTAGGACAAAACATTGAGAGGTTCCCCTCTGAATGATCTTCACAGGTTGTTTGCTTTTGTAAAAAGGACTTGACAGGTGTGTGCATGTTTTTCCAGAACGTTTTTCCAAAAAAAAGGGCTAATGGAGCAAAGCAGTGCTGCCTTTATTATCCAGTGTTTATATTTTGACATGGCTGGAATTTGGTTTTACCCTAACACTGTTTTTGTTGGGGGAAACATAAGTCTCATGTTAAGTCTTCCAGCTGTTTAGCACTGACAGTGATCTGTGACCCAGTTGTCCATTGTAACCAAATATTTATAATTGGAAGGTAAAATAAGATGTAAAATATCCATCATCAATGCACTTATACAAGCAACATTTCATCTGATCAGCCCCTCTGGAGTATAGCAGGAATAATTTCTTCCTCCGAATCATTTCTAGAGCCCCAGTAAGTCATATTGGAAACACTGAAGTGTCCTCGGATTGCTTCTTGTCTTGCATCTCCGATTGAGAATTTACGTGTTTACATTGAGTGGTGACTTCTGGATCTGAATTTACCAAAGGAAGGAGGAACCATTTGGTATTCAGATGTTGAATGCTTAGATCTAGATTTGTTGCTTTTTAACCTCAGACAGACCTGTTAATGTCTCCACAGCTCTTCCACTCTCTGCCGGCAGCATGGCTGTGTCTGGTGGCCTCATTTACAGCGGTAAGATTCAGCCTACAAATAATGTAAACATGCATTCATTACACAAAGCTGTTGGGTTTGAGCCATGAGTTCAGGGGTAGTTTGGGCAGTTTTGTTTAAATGTAGATGAAATAATATATATATATGAAAAATAAACTTATTTCAGCTAGTTGCCAAGGCAGCATTTTTCATTATTTAGTTTACCTTGATGTACTAAAATAACAAAAACTGAAATGAAAATGAAAACTACACAAACACATATGTGACCCTGGACCACAAAACCAGTCTTAAGTCGATGGGGTATATTTGTAGCAATAGCCAAAAATACATTGTATGGGTCAAAATTATCGATTTTTCTTTTATGCCAAAAATCATTAGGATATTAAGTAAAGATCATGTTCCATGAAGATATTTTGTAAATTTTCTACTGTAAATATATTCAAACTTAATTTTTGATTAGTAATATGCATTGCTAAGAACTTAATTTGGACAACTTTAAAGGCAATTTTCTCAATATTTAGATTTTTCTGCACCTTCAGATTCCAGATTTTCAGTCCTTATGACTGGTTTTGTGGTCCAGGGTCACATTTAAAGACAAAAATAAACAAAATTACTAAAACTTAAAAAAAATTATAAAATAAAACAATTTCAAGATATTAATAAAAACTATTTTTTTAATTGTAGACTACTAAAATAACACTGTTAAAACAGTCTATCGTAAATTATGCGTTCTGAATGAAACACTGTTATCAATACTTGCTTGAGCCAAAAGACATGAGTGCAAAAACTGTTTAGCACATGTTTACATAGAAAAACCATGGAAAAGCAGAGTTCTGTGTGAAAGGCTTCTTTTTTTGTTGGACTGTAATGAAAACGTATAATCCAGTTTGCAATTTTTTTAACAGGTGTCTGGAAACAGTCCAAGCGATTTGGGTATTTCCCTAAACTACTTTGTAAGTCTCTATTGAATAATAATTTCCCACCTCATATTAGTATGCATGTTTTGTATCATTTGGCAATATACAGTTGGAATACAAACCCATCTATCCATTTTTTCTTCTGCAGTGGCGGGTATTGTGGGTTACGCAGTAGGCAAAGCTTCCTATGCTGGGACCTGCAGAGAGAAGTTCAACAGTAAACTGGGACCAGAGTTCGCCAAAGGGTTTAGTCCTCCTGGATTTGGACCTGGTGGCTCTAAACCTGGACATAAGTAAGTATCATGAGGATTAGTCATGTGTCATGAGCTTTTTGAAGTAATTTTGTTGTTTGAAATATCTGTTCATGTTTTCCTTTATACAGACACTGCATCCATGTGTGTGAAAAGTGCAAGCAAGAAGAAGCACAAGCCACAGCAACAGCGCCTGATGCACCCACTCAGAGCTAAGGTGAAGAAACACAACACACCCAAACACACCCATATACCTACACACAAAAGATCCAACTCAGTCAACACCTTCACACTAAACCACACCCACCAGCCGCTATTCATTTACATTCTAAACCACATGCCCACCAAACACCCCTTACCTGGTGTTGTTTAAAGGGGTCATATGATGTTGCTAAAAAAGAACATTATTTGGTGTAATGAAATGTGTTTATGCGGTTCAAGGTTAAAAAAACACATTATTTTCCACATACTGTACATTATTGTTTTGGGGGCGTGTTTAAACGAGGCGTTTTTGGAGGGCGTGGACAAGTCCCAACTTTTATAAAGAATATCTCTTTGGGTTTGAGACTTAAGTCTTTGCAATTTTAGGGATCTTATCTATTCACGAACAGCTTGTAACACTCCAAAGAGAAAGGAAAACTTGAAATCGCATCATATGACCCCTTTAAGAGAACACAATACAATGTAATCAATGCTAAAGTTAAATCTATTAATTTTTCTGTTGCAGAGTCGTTGGAATCCGCAGGACATCACTCATTACCCCATGTAATTTTTAAAAGAAAAAAATAATAATAATTACAACAGTAATATTTAGCTCTTTTGAAAATAATGCAAAACAAAGCAGCTAAAATTTGAAACCTTAAGCCTTACTAACCTGCAGGGGGCGCCAAGACACTACGAGACAAATTAGACAAACTTTTTTTTACAAGTAGTTTATACATGAGGTTGATTAGAGGGAACAATGTAACTAAGCAGTGTATGCTGCTGTAGTCAAATCTGGTACAAATGAATCAACCTCATAAGAATTAGTATGGTGCTCTTTTTAAGTTCTTATAATGTTACATTCCAATGATATTTGCTCAGCTTTTCTTTTGTTTATAATGTAGAGAAGGGAGTGGAGGTTTCTGTTCAATTTTATTACAGTAAGCAGCTGCCTTTTATCAGAGTAGAATCATAATATTGTACTGCAGAACGAAGTCATGCAAATCTGACACTTTAAAAAAAAAAACCTTTACAAACAAGAATCAATATGCAGTGAACGAATTACAGATATCACAGGCTTTATATGAAATGTTGGAACATTTAAATGTGAATTTTCATTAAAAGAATTTAAAGAGCAAGCATATCTTAATCTCTTATCTCCAGCTCAGAGGACTGTAATAACTGTAACATCAGTGAATGATGCCATTATTATAATCATGGGTCCAAGTCTAAACACATCTAGTCTTAACACTGTCATAATTGTCACTTGTGCACAGCTTTAACAATGTGATGCACTAGATTGTCAGTGGAAACTCACCCTTGATGCTATTTATTACATTCCCATTTTCTGGGTTTATGTGAAACAGTATCACATCTATTGTTTATTATATCATTTTATTTATTTATTAACAAATCTCAAGCACATCTGACCAGAATTTCCTAATCAATAAAAACACTGATAGTTTGTTAAAATTATTTATCTTACATCTACTTAATGCAAGAAGTGAAGAGAAGAAACATTTATTTTCAAACCACAAATGTGCAATAAAAAAAAATAAAAATAATTGCACTCATTTGCATTCAAAAAAGGAGTTTTACTCCTTAAAGTACATTCAGCATTTAATCGCAGCTTTTGGTCTAATCTGGCAGAATGAGTCATGACATCTCTACAGAAGTCACTGCGTTCAGATCTTGAGCTCCTGAAACAGCGGATTCTTCAGGTCAATCGTACTCTTCCAAAGAATCTCCATACTTGTTCTTTTTAACTGGAGGGGGAAGGAAGAAACTGGTTTACAGATTAAAACATAAAAGGACATTGAAATTATAGAATACTTATTAACTAGACCAATATTCATACAAATGCAAAATTAAGTCAAGCTTCAACACTCATGTCAGTTGAAGTGTCAACTATCAACTAGTGTATATTTGCCATCATCTACATCAGTGGTTCAAAACTGGACTTGCTTCAGGACCTTGATGTTACATTGGACAACAGTTGGCAACCCAACACAGTACTGTTTCTGAACTGATTCATGGATACTTTGTAATTTATATGTTAAATATTCAACAAGATAAACAACATCTAAATTTATTGGCTTTTATAATCATTACAAATCTCACAAATCATTACATATATAGACCTATTAAAATTTGAGGGAAATCAGTTAATAAAGCTCACCTTCCTTTTTAGCTACTGGCACCACTGTTTGTGGTTTCAGCAGTGTTTCAGCTTTCTGTGTGAGAGTGACCTCGTAGTTCTCTCTATTCTTGCTACGCAGTTCCTCATACAACACTGGCTTCTTTTTGGGCACGTCCTCATCTGGGTAGAGTGGAGCTTTGGGACAAACTACTGGTTAAACATCTACCAATCAGATGACAAATCCTTATTCAATGACAAATGTCCTTTCTCTTCACCAACTGTAATCAAATTTATATTTATTTATATACGTCTATACAATTATACATGTTGTTGTGTGCTAGGGTGGCAGTACCTAGAGAAGAAATATCATCCCTGATGTTAACGGGACCAGAATCACTGAATCCAGAACTAAAAGGAGTGGGGTCGTATGATTGGGAGGGTCTGCTGTAGGTATAGTCACTGGTGTAACTGCTGTAGCTCTCAGGCATAGAACTGCCTTCTGTCGAATGTTGGGACGCAGACTCAGAACCAGACTGTTGAGATTCTGATAGGTTTGGATCCTCAAACTCTGACTGGTTTAGCCTTAAAAAATAATTATTTAATCACTATGTGTAAGATACTTGTCAAAGTGAATATATTAATGTATATTTATGTGAAAAGAAACAAATAAAAACAAAAAACACATACAAATAGCAATTTTATGTTTATAACTATAAAACAAAATATAGAAATTCAAATATATTTAAAATAAATTCTGTTTGCACTTGTTCTTACCCTGAAGGCATGTGATGCAGACGTCCCTGTCGTAGTGCCTCTCCTAGTGGGGAGTTCTCCAGTTTCCTAAACTTTTCTTCACAGACCCTCATGTAAGACATTTTCCCACTAATGTATCCAAGCATGCCAGCAACTGCATAAAAATCACAAACATTCCAAGGTACTTTGAATAGCCCTCACCATATATCCTTGGTTTTAGCTGTCTTCTATAAAATTAGAGCTGTCAGTTGTTCTTGATACTTACATGCAACTTTGGGAAGAGAGCCAAATCGGGGCGATGGAGTAAGGATTCCTAGGGATAAACAATAACAACATAAGATTTAGCATGTTTGAAAAATGAATTTATTCTCCCTTTATGTTCAACCTCCAGAATCCAAACCCATAAAACTTGTTCATATTCAGAACTCAGAGCATGTACAGTTGAGTTTCGGTTTACCATATTTGATGTGCTCTATGTATGTGCACTGATAAATGTTTATATGTGAACAAAAGCCTAAATTATATCTGTTCATCATACAAAATGATTGCGTCTCCTTAGAATACTTAGATTACACCACTCTATTCATGTAGATTTCTTTTTACAATCTCTTCATGAACATTCTGAAGCATTACAATTTTGGTGGAATGGACTTTCAATGGAGGGACAGAAATCTCTCAGGTTTCATTAAAAATATCTTTCAGAGATGAATGAAAGTCATATGGGTTTGGATCAACAAAAATTATTGAGAATTTTCGGTAACACTTTAGGATAGGGACCAATTCTCACTATTAACTACCTGCTTATTAGCATGCCTATTATTAACATATTGGCTGTTTATTAGTACTTATAAAGCACATATTCTGCATGACTATATTCTACATCCCTAATTACCTTACTAACTACTAAAAAGCAGAAAATTGGGAGTTTATTGATGCAAAAGTTGTAGTTAATGGTTTGTTAATAGTGAGATTTGGACCTTAAAGTAAAGTGTGACCGAATTTTCATTTTTGGTTGAACTACCCCTTTTCCATGACTTCTCTATAACTTTTATAGTCATTTGTAATTGCTGGGTATTGATTTCTAAAGTAATTTTCCTTTCCAGAGCTCTGCGTATATCTAGAAAAGATGTGTTCACTAAATACTTAAGATTTTATTCTTTTTAATGACGTTTCCAGTTCTTAAAATTCCCTGATAATTCTAGGTTTTCCCATGACAATGGGAAACATGAGTAAAAACTTAAAATACAGGACGTGAACGTACCTCTTGATACCATTACCTGAGTGGCTGCGATTGCAATGGCAGAAAAAGGCAAGGCTGCAAAAAACAAGAGAGCAAACATGTTCAGAAGTCTCTTTCACAAGTACTTTCTCATCAGAATCAAGCAAAGACAAAGCATCTTGAGACTGTACCTTGCAAAGTACATTTGGGGAGAAACGATGTAGGGCAGAATGACAGCCAAGTGCCAATAAATCATGACAGGTTTCATTATAAATGTAGAGCACTAACGTTACTCACATCTGTACCACAAGCTTTCTGAATTGCACTCTCTGAAGACACGCCTCTCTTCTTCATTGGGAATATACGAGGCATTAAAAGGACCCTGAGAAGACAAAACTATACGTGAGGAAAGTTTCTGAAAGTTCCCTATCAGCGAACTATTTATCCTGCAAACAGAAAACCGCACACACTTTGCTTTTGAAGCACTTCTGCATGAGACAGAGCAGTATGTGGTTTATAAACACTGTCAGGTGAATTTACTGCCTACCTTACTAGGTCCATGTGGGACTTGAGCAGCCGGAGTGAATCCAGACGAAGCTTGCGACATGACTAATTCAAGAAGCACAGCGCGATTACACAAACAATAATGTTTTTGCAGTAGCCATGGGATTACGCGGATTACTGGTCAACAAGTCCAGGGACACACTTCATTACACGACCTCCAGTCGACTCTTATTAGCAAACAACACTAACCCGGAAGTGCAGGAGTTAAGTCGGAAGCACCAATGAAAAGTCTCAATATGTGGAAATGTGTCTTTTAAACTGGGGTGCACAAAAGTTTTTCAGTCTGGTTCTCATGAGTGCACCTGGAGATTTGGTTTGGTACTCACACAGCACATAGTGTGACTCATTAAATATAACTATAAAAATAAAATAATTATTAATAGGGATAATAGTAGTATTGCATTTATTTATTTTGTATTTTAATAAAATAATAAACAAAATAATCAGTGTGATTATACTATTATATTAAAAAAAATAAATTGAGTATTAAATAAAAAATACTGTTGTTTTATAGTACACTTAAAAATACAATGCTAATATTAACCTTTTTTTAATGAATTTTCATCATTTTCAAACCTAAAATCAGCAAGCTTTTATTTTGGCGGGTTGCCGGCATATGTATACTGGGCATATGCGCTGCCGAGTGAAGCGCGTCAAGTCAAGTCAAGTCAAGTCACCTTTATTTATATAGCGCTTTTAACAATACAGATTGTGTCAAAGCAACTAAGAGCAGTTTCTGTTCTTTACACCATGACAATAACCATTCATTTAAAGCAAAAAGCCTACTGAACCTTTCATGTCCTCGTCGATACGTGGGAAGCGGTCCTGACACGATGATCGTCGTCGCGGGCGATGTGCGGCGCACCGTCTCGATCAGGCTCCTGAAGTCCCTCTTCAGTGTCTCCGTCTGCCGCAGCTCTGAAATGTCAGTTTTGCATTTTGCTCTGAAACCGGCAGCCTAGATTAATGTTTTCAGTTTGACAGTTAGTCGATCTAAAACAGTGATTGTACATTAACAGCTGTCAACAATGTCGGTACGCAAATGAGCGACCTTAACATATTTACATATCGCATTTTTTATGCGCATCACTGCTTATAAGTATTTTTATTTTTTTTGCTCAATGATCATTTGATGGAGTTTTTGTTTTTGTAAATTCAACACGGAAAATACAAAATATACCAATTGTAATTTCCGTACACATTAAATAAATGAAACATTTTATAGCCACAAAAAAAGAAGAACAAGTCATAAAACGTAAACGTACGATTTCATGAGGTTTAATTTGTAACGCATACAAAGTAAATGATAACAAAATAAAACATCAGTTCATACATGCTTATTATTCTTATGAATAAAAGAGAGGAAAAAACAGAAGAAAGTCTCAATTTTAAAGCGTTCAGGCAAACGTACATGTAAATGTATTTAAAGGGTACTTTATGCATTAACCCATACAGCACTTAATAACATTTCTAAGCTTGTCTTATACCTAGAATAAATGCTAATTGTGTGAATCAGTTCTCTGAACTGAGAAAGCAACTAGACTAGAAATGATTTGGAGAAGTTCAGAGAAATCATAGTGTCAATATGAGCATTAATAACTTTTAGTGTTTTGTCAATAGCCATTTAATTGCCTCATCTATCGACCGACCTCACAACGAAAAACTAAACCTCATATACAACGAACAGTTAAAGGGGTCTGATATAAAACCGAAGGAATTATCACGGAATCAGAGGCTCTGAGTCTGCACGGAATCATGTCCTTTCAGCCAATCCAGTAAAAGTGTGTGTTGATTGATGGCTCAATCAGCCAATAGAATGGCCCATTTGTTTGGAGTGTGAATACAGTGCATTTATCGCAGCGAGCGCAGGGCGGGGCTTAGCTCCGCACTCTTGACACCGCGACTCCCCTATCAGAAGAGCGGATTGTCAAAGCCGTTAGCCAGCGCTGCTCCAATCTGTTGGGCAGGGAGGTGGGTACGTTGTCATTCGTCGAGTTTTTAGGTGTTTTGCGAAAAAAGACCGAGAAGATTAGCTATAAGATCGAACGTTAGAGGTCAACGGATGTGAAATGTAGTTTTTGTAAAGCTCGAGTCGTTCTTGTCATCTTTTGGAGAGAAGAACCATCAGGTTTTCAGCGCTAGCGCGAGCAGGCTAACGTTATTTGACGAGGAAAAGCGCAGCTGCTCTAAAAAAAGGTAAGAAGGGCCGAATTCTGTTTGACTAACCTCAAATACCAGACTTGTAATGTAACACCGAGAGAGCCAGCTCTCACTTTTTAAGCTCATCGGTTGTCTTATCAGGTGTACTTTCCTTCGCAGGATATTATCAGTTGGTAGACATAGACAAGTTATGTTATGTTGACCTGCATTTGAAGCGAAGATGAGTGCAGTCAGTGGCTGTATCACAAAATCTAGTGAGCTGTCTACCTAGACAGCGTTTTTGTACATCATTGCTGAGGGACATGAGTTAAGCAGAGCATATGAAACTAAAATCTTAATGCACATGGGACTTTTTATGGAGTTTTGTGAGCTAACACGAGACAACACTGCGTTTAACCAATCAGAAAAAGGGGAGAAATTGCTTTTGGGTAACGTATGAAAGCTGGACTGAAGGGAGAGACTGCTACAAAACTGTAGTTTGGCGGAAATATCAGTCATAATATTATTAGTAACAGGATGCTGCTAGGCTGAGTTTAAAACCCACCAAGTTCATTAACAACTCTTATCTTGATTGAAACCACCAGATTACGTAAAACAATCTTTTAATTTGCTTTCTCTTTCATTTCTTTAGTGGAAAAGTGCGAAATTGTACTAAAACTCTGGAGCTTTTCATGATGAAGGTATTTATCTAAAAACATGGTTTTGTTTCAATCCAGACCACCTCTTTCTCCTTTATCTTATTCGTCTAATAAAATCTGTCACTTGAAAGGCTCATTGATGTTTATTGCTTGTCCTATGCAAACATGTGCATGAGTCATAAATGATGTTAACAACTCTAGTGTCCCAGCCAGCCTCTCAGCATTTGGTGACAGAGCAGCTTGTTCAGCAGTGAGCAGAGTAGAGTTCACACTCCTGATCTGAGCTCTGAGAAGAGTGTGAACTCTTCCTGCTTACCGGTGAGCATGCTGCTCTGAGTTTCATGACAGCATTATGTCTCTTGTAAACAGTAGTGGGGTTTGGTGAGAGACAGATGCATGGGATTGTTGCATTGGAGTTAAATTCTTGGATCTTCTTCTTTCAATTAATGCTCCTAAATCTTGATGTATAGATATAGAAGCATGATATTTTAATCTGAAATCTCTGCATGCTTCAAGTGAAAATAGACGTTAAAAAAAAACTTGTTTTACATTTATTACATTGTCAATAACAGTAGTAGTGAAATGTCATGATTTTTGATGCCAGTTTGGATACCTCAACTACTAAAATGCTATAGAATGGAAAAAGCTAATAGTATAAATGGTAACAAATTAAAATAATGTTTGTAGCTGTCAAATTATGTGATTATAATTACTATAATAATACGTTACCATTTAAAAGTTTGGGTCAGCAAGATTTATTTGAAAGAAATTTCAGGAAGGATGCATTAAATTGTTCAAAAGTAACAGTGAATATTTTTATATTGTTACAAAAAATTTCAATTTCAAATAAGTGCTGTTCTTTTATGTTTTCAGTTTATCAAAGAATCCTGAAAAAAAATGGATCACAGTTTCCACAAAAATATTAAACAACTGTTTTCAGCATTGATAATAATAAGAAATGTTTCTCAAGCAGCAAATCAGCATGTTACAATGATTTCTGAAGGATCATGTGACACCGAACGCTGGAGTAATGGCTGCTGAAAATTGAGCTTTGCCACAAGAGGAATAAATAGCATTTTAAAATATATTAAAGTAGAAAATATTTATTTACGATTATATATGATTGCAATAATATTTCACAATATTGCTGTTTTTACTATATTTTTGATCGAACAAATGCAGCCTTGGTGACCATAAGAGGAGTAATATACATAAATAAACAGTCAGAAATTAAGAAAGAAATTTAGAGCAGTGAGTGGTTGTTTTTCTTATCAGTATTGAGCAACCCTACAAGACCAAAAGCACAGATCTGATATAACTGATATATTGCCTTCCTTAACATCATATGATTGTCCCCTTTACCACACATTGAACTGCTTGAATATTTCAGGAACTCTTTACTCTTCATTTTTTTTTGCAAGCATCTTAGTGACAGTATACTGTGCTATTTGCATTGATAACCTAGTAAATTACCTTGTTTAAGATGTGTTCTCAGTAATTGCTTCTTTGCTAGAACTAATGCTCCTTGTTAATTAGTCCCGCATAAATGAGATTTACAGTGCAATATAGTCGTAATCCTGTGGGATCATTTTGTCATTTAGGAGGGAGAGAAAAGGAATGAATTGGTTCTCTTCTCCGTCCTAATTTTAATCTAAATGTGCCTGAGGATGCAGTGTTTTTACACCCTCTTGAACACCCTCTTTTTGTTTAATATATTTATAAAGGGATAGTTCACCCAAAAATGAAAATTACCCCATGATTTACTCACCCTCATGGCATCCTAGGTGTATATGACTTTCTTCTTTCAGACAAATACAGTCGGAGTTATATTTAAAAATGTCCTGGCTCTTCCAAGCATTATAATGGCTTTTTTATAATATAAAAAGTGTCCCACACGGCTCCGGTGGGTGAATAAAGGTCTCCTGAAGCGAATCGATGCATTTTTTTATAAGAAACATATCCATATTTAAAACTTTTCAAACAGTAAGGTGAGTAAATCATGGGGTAATTTTCATTTTTGGGTGAACTATCCCTTCAAGGGCATAATCACAACAGCTGCAATCAGAAAATACTGAGGGCTTTTGGTTTTTGAGTCATCTGTTGTCTGGTACAGTACAAAGGGTCTTGTATAGGAGTGGGGCCGGACAGTCTGGTGTAGGTGGCAAATTAATGCACATGTGGGCATTTTGGAACTCGGGCCTTAAAGAGCTGGATTTTACCACAAATGAAAGAGGCATTTTAATGGACCATTTTTTTTCCCAGAAGAATGATAATGATAATTAAATAATCAGACATCGTTTTGCCCCTGGCCTCTTGTACCCTTCAGGGGTGTTGCGTAATTGCATTTGCTAAGTGAACTGACACAGAGTTGTGTATTCGGTGGTCCGCCGAGCGTTGCGGATGACCGTCATGACCGTATTTTCCAAACGCCTACTATGCTTAGAG